TCCTTCCTTCCTTCCTTCCTTCCTTCCTTCCTTCCTTCCTTCCTTCCATTTTTCCTTTCTCTTCCTCTCCCCTCCCCTTCTTTCTCCCTTTCCTTTCTTCCTCCCTCCCTCCCTCCCCTCCTTCATATCTTCCATCCATCCATCCATCTTTCCTTTCTCCTCCTCTCCCCCTTCTTTCCTTCATGCCTTCCATCCATCCATCTTTCTTTTCTCCTTCTTTCTTCTTCTCTCTTGTGTTAAGTTCTCCATTTAACTATTCAAAAAGTAAAGAACAGTATAAAAATGTGACAATAGCTTTTTTTTTTTTTTTGTAATGTTTTCCTAATGGCTCCTTTCCCAGTCAGGAATGCATTAGTACAACACATTGGCTGGTTTATCCAGAAGTCACTTGTAATCAAGTGCAGACTTGTAGGGCTATGTTTGAGTGTGTGCATGTTTGTGTGTCGGCAAGTACTAGTGTGTGTGTGTGTGTGTGTGTGTGTGTGTGTGTGTCCATGTTGCTTTAGTTTATATTAGCCCTGGAGGCAGAGTTAACACTTAAAATGGGACAAGAGTGTTTGCAGCCATCAGAGAACTTTCCAGCCATATATTTTTTTGTATATAATTTTTTTTTGGCAGCAAAGACTTCAGTAGAACCATCTGTCTCTCTATTAGTGTTTTGAGTTCTGTTTTGAAGCTTCTTTGCTTGGCAAAGTCATTTTCATACATGGAACACTTCTCTTTCTCCTTCTCCTTCTCCTTCTCCTTCTCCTTCTCCTTCTCCTTCTCCTTCTCCTTCCTTCCTTCCTTCCTTCCTTCCTTCCTTCCTTCCTTCCTTCCTTCCTTCCTTCCTTCCTTCCTTCCTTCCTTCCTTCCTTCCTTCCCCCTGGTTCTTTGCCTAAGAATACAATGCAAACATTCAATTCGCTTTCAGAGGAGAAAGAAATTTCTTTGTCATTTAAAGGGGGGGGGGGGAGGTAGCAAATTAAGGAAGTAACAGGATTATTCCAGGGTCATTAAAAAAAATTTCTATATACATTTACCTCTGGGTAAATCCTGTTTAATTTTACAGACATCCGTTAGGGGTGTACTATGAGCAAAGCGCTGGGAGCATGATAGCCGTTGCTCCGCAGGTGCTGAAATGTTTTGGTCAAGTGAAATTGAATTCTTACAACCACAATAACAGGTCATTATTAAATAACAATTCTGCAACACTATTTTTAAAAGGAATATGATTCTAAAAATAAAATGGAATGAGGGAGGGAATCAGGAAGGGGAAAAAAATCTTATTAGAGATCCAAATGGACTCAAAATAGATCTGTGTGATGCTATTGCTCTTTCTGTGGTCCACAGTGATGGGGGATACTTCCAAACTCAGATTGTGCTCAAAATCAAATACTGTAATATATTTTTTCCAATTTCCAACTACTTGTACTATAGTTGTAATCCAATCTAAGATGAGCCCCCCCCCCCCCAAATTAGAAGAGGATATTTGTAACTCAGAGTTGAACTGTATGGTCCTTGATGCTCTCTGAGCTTGGTGGTTTTATTGCAGACATTTCATTACCCAAGTAGGTAACATCATCAGTGCTAGCAGGAAGTTTGTGAGGAGGTGCGGGAGAAGGGTAGGAGGATTGTGGGGTCCTTGATGCTCTCTGAGCTTGGTGGTTTTCTTGCAGACGTTTCATGACCCAACTAGGTAATATCATCAGTGTCAGAAGGGAGCAAACTCCACTCCCACCTAGCACTGATGATGTTACCTAGTTGGAACAACCAAGCTCAGAGAGCACCAAGGATCTCACAATTAAGCCACGCTCTAGAGTTTTTTGTTGAATAAGACAGCTGCCCCACACACCCCCAAAAAAGCTTTCCGAGTCTTGCTGTGCTATCTTATCTCTACTGTATCAAAGAGCATTTGAACAGGTCACCCGTACTACACAGACTTTCCACCACATTTCAGGACCTTGGTTACCCCAGGAACACAACTTCACCTCGTGAAAGAAACATCTCAAGGGGAAAAAAAATCTCTTCCTTTGCGTACGCAGAATTTCATGCAGTCAAACCATGAGCCTCTGGAAGGATACCTGACAATTGCAGTCTTAAATCTTCAGGCTAACTGTTATGCAGTAATATTTGGTTTGATGTTTACCACTTCTTGTCCAGCAGGTCCAAGGTCAGCTACCACCACTAATGATCCCCGTATTCCCTCCAGACCAGCGAACCCTAGCCGCAGCGGCCCAGCAAGGATTCCTCCTGCCACCTGGTTTCAGCTACAAGACAGGCTGTAGTAAGTCTAGTCAGTTGTTTTCGAGCAGGTGTGATGTGCCTAAAGTGGGGTGGTGGACCTGAGCTGGCACTGGGTAGCAAGGATGCACTATCAGAGACAGACCATCCTCGTTCAAACTGTCTATACTGCGAGGGTCAGAAGGTGGGCTGAGAAGATATCTGTACAGCCTAGACACAAATGGTTTCAACTCCTTGCCTTGGAATGGCGCTACAGGGTACTGCATGCCGAGACAATTAGACACAGGGACAGTTTCTTTATTTTTATTTATTGATTGATTTGATTTTTCAATCGCTTACAAGATAATAGGTATAAGTATAAACATACACTGCTCAAAAAAATAAAGGGAACACAAAAATAAGACATCCTGGATCTGAATGAATGAAATATTCTCATTAAATACTTTGTTCATTACATAGTGGAATGTGCTGACAACAAAATCACACATTATCAATGGAAATCAAATTTAGCAACCCATGGAGGTCTGGATTTAGAGTTACACTCAAAATTAAAGTGGAAAAAAACGCTACAGGCTGATCCAACTTTGATGTAATGTCCTTAAAACAAGTCAAAATGAGGCTCAGTAGTGTGTGTGGCCTCCACATGCCTGTATGACCTCCCTACAACGCCTGGGCATGCTCCTGATGAGGTGGTGGATGGTCTCCTGAGGGATCTCCTCCCATACCTGGACTAAAGCATCCCCCAACTCCTGGACAGTCTGTGGTGCAACGTGGCGTTGTTGGATGGAGCAAGACATGATGTCCCAGATGTGCTCAATTGGATTCAGGTCTGGCAGGCCAGTCTATAGCATCAATGCCTTCGTCTTGCAGGAACTGCTGACATACTCCAGCCACATGAGGTCTAGCATTGTCTTGCATTAGGAGGAACCCAGGGCCAACCGCACCAGCATATGGTCTCACAAGGGGTCTGAGGATCTCATCTTGGTACCTAATGGCAGTCAGGCTACCGCTGGCAACCACATGGAGGGCTGTGCGACCCCCTAAAGAAATGCCACCCCACACCATTACTGACCCACTGCCAAACCGGTCATGCTGTAGGATGTTGCAGGCAGCAGAATGTTCTCCACGGCGTCTCCAGACCCTGTCACGTCTGTCACATGTGCTTAGTGTGAACCTGCTTTCATCCGTGAAGAGCACAGGGCGCCAGTGGCGAATTTGCCAATCTTGGTGTTCTCTGGCAAATGCCAAACGTCCTGCACGGTGTTGGGCTGTAAGCAAAACCCCCACCTGTGGACATCGGGCCCTCATACCACCCTCATGGAGTCTGGTTCTGACCGTTTGAGCAGCCACATGCACATTTGTGGCCCGCTGGAGGTCATTTTGCAGGGCTCTGGCAGTGCTCCTCCTGTCCCTCCTTGCACAAAGGCGGAGGTAGCGGTCCTGATGCTGGGTTGTTGCCCTCCTATGGCCTCCTCCACATCTCCTGATGTACTGGCCTGTCTTCTGGTAGCGCCTCCATGCTCTGGACACTACGCTGACAGATACAGCAAACCTTCTTGCAACAGCTCACATTGATGTGCCATCCTGGATCAGCTGCACTACCTGAGCCACTTGTGTGGGTTGTAGACTCCGTCTCATGCTACCACTAGAGTGAAAGCACCACCAGCATTCAAAAGTGACCAAACCATCAGCCAGAAAGCATAGGAACTGAGAAGTGGTCTGTGGTCACCACCTGCAGAACCACTCCTTTATTGGGGATGTCTTGCTAACTGCCCATGCTTTCCACCTGTTGTCTATTCCATGTGCACAACAGCATGTGAAATTGATTGTCAATCAGTGTTGCTACCTAAGTGGACAGTTTGATTTCACAGAAGTGTGATTGACTTGGAGTTACATTGTGTTGTTTAAGTGTTCCCTTTATTTTTTTGAGCAGTGTAGTTATGAATACATGAAATGGATACATATAAGAAAAATAAAAAGAATCAATAGGACAGGGACGGTAGGCACGTTGGTTTGCTTATGCACGCCCCCTACAGACCTCTTAGGAAAGGGGTGAGGTCAATAGTAGACAGTCTGAGGTTAATCATCTCCATGCTGAACACTTAATTCTTCTAGTTCTGTATAATGTGTATGTATATCAATCCATAGAGTCAGGAGTGGGATTCAAATAATTTAACAACCGGTTCTCTGCCCCTAATGATTTCTTCCAACAACCAGTTCACCAAACTGCTCAACCCGTTAACAACCGGTTCTCCCGAACCGGCTGAATCCCATCACTGCATAGAGTGTGGCTGGAGGATGGAACGGGGCAACTTGCTACAGCCAACTTGCCATGGCCAATTTGCTGCAGGACCACTCAACAATTCAATCTTAATTATTTAAAATCATTTTAAAAATTATGTGTTTTTTGTCATTTGCATTTCATTCTGTTCCTCCTTTTGCATCCTTTCTTTAAGGATTCTATTCCACCATTTCTTCAATATTAATCTCTTGTCTCGCGGGGAAGTTGGCCATGACAATATGGCCATGGTGGGTTGTCCTAGAGCAGTTGTATTATTATTATTTATTCCTTTTATTATCATATTTACTTCCTCCTATTATTATTATTATTATTATTATTATTATTATTATTATTATTATTA